AATAGCTCAGATATGGAATATACAGTTTATCATAAGGAGAGACCAGCATGGTGCATGTGTGTTTTTATATGCAATCTTGTTATGCTTTGCATGCAAACTCATTAACTTGTTTTATTTTACCTTTTAGTACCTATTTGGGGTTTAATGAGCATAAAATGTCTGTACCCAAAAGTAACAAGATGGCATATGAACATTTAAATTTTTAATGCAATGTATAGTCTCATCCATGCTTCCCCCTTTTTCTACCCAAACCTTTGCCTGAAATAATGAATGAAATTTTGTAACCATCATAGCCTGATGTCGCAAGGTTGTATCTGGAACAGTGTTTGAATACCTGTATAATAGATGATCTATAGTTTGATCAGTTTGATATCATTCCCACCAAGTCTCCCCTCTCACACATTTTTATGGGCTTCTCCTCCCTCCTGCCTGGAGCCAGCTAGTGCTCAGTTGGTGCAAAATACTTAAAAATAGCGGAATAGAGAAAAGAAAATGTGCTGAAGAGAATGATGGAATCCGGTCTAAAGCCAAGTACAAACTCGCTCGGCGGGGAAGGGTGAGCGGTGCAGACCCTGTGTATGCGATGTCCACTGACCTCACCCTCGCTCGCACGGCTCCGCCTCCATTCCCCCAAATCCCTGCCTTCTTATTCCTGCCCAACCACCCTCGCGAATCTCTTTGCATCTGTGATTTAAAACAGGCCTTCACTGACATCCTTCTTGGAACGCCTAGTGCTAAGTCGCAGTTGTCAAGGTAACAGCGTGTCTGGAGGGAGAACCGGCTCTGTGGAGTTTCCCGGGAAACCGCTCCCCGCAGAGGCAGGTGCGGCTGGCCGGCGGCGCCGGGAGGACCCGCGGGGCGCGGCGGGGCGCGGGCCCTGGAGAGCCTCTGGGCGTGGCCGCCCGGCTTCCCTGCGCTCTGGAGATACATGTATATATCTGTTATAAAATACTACTTTCGTTGGAATATTTTGCACTGATATTCCACTTGCAAACCAGAACTGCTAATACCTTCCGGCTGGGTAAGATTCGGTCGCTCTCAGGGAGCTGCCTGCGCTTTGGAAATGATCCAGATCGGCGAGGAACTGCAAAGGAGCCCCCTCAGACAGTAAGGTTCTGTTGGCCAGAGACCTGGGGACAGACGCGAGCGTCGGTGTGCGCGGCTAGAACGCGAGGGAACCCGTAGATGAGCTTCTTGCGCTTGGCACGGTGCTCGGACTATCCCACCGATGCCCAGAAATCAAGTAGGAATGGTGTTGAGGGTCGCTTCGTAAGTTCCTCTTACATTTGAGATGCGGGTTAGGGTAACTGGAAAGGCACCTGCCTCTTGTCCCCGTCCCTCCGCCCCGAAATACTGCTGAGAAAAGATTTATGCTCAGAGCGAACAGGAGAGAACAGAGGTTTCTGGAGAATTCCTAGGTGGAGGCTGGTATTTGAACCTTATCCTGGTCGGTCCCTGCACAGTCATTCCAGCTGCCGCATCGCCGGGGCCGAGGCCGGGTGACGGCGCTCGAGCGTGCAGAACGGTCCCCAGCCTGTCATCTTTGTGTCGCTGTGGGGGAGGGGCGGCTGTCTGACACAGTTATTAAACCTGGCAGCTGCGTTGGCGGCACTGAGGAGCATTTTGAATGAGCTCTCAGAAAATGAGGGGCTTTCAGCTGGCCGCCTGCTCGTCACCTCTCGCTGCCTGAAAGGCGGCTCTCAGAGCGCTTTCTCGTCCTCTAATTAAGGTGGCGGGAAGCGTGCGTGCGCTTCGGCAAACAACTGGAAACGTGAGTATCTGTGGCCTCCGCGTTGTTTGTAGGCGGCTCGGCTCTCAGAGCGTCTACCCCAGGTCTGGACGCAGAGGCAGCGACAAGAGGGGCGCGCGACGCACGTGGCCACGCCTCGTCTGGAGGCGGCGCGCGCCGGCGCGGCGAGGGGGCGGCGGCCCGGGAGGCTGGAGGCTGGAGGCTGGGGCTCTGGCGCCCGGTTTCTAGTACTGTGCTTTGGGGACCGGCACACAAAGAAAAGAACCTTGGGCCTAGACAGCCCGTGTAGACAGCCCTGTCCGACCACTAATCCCTCGGGTCCTTTTTGAGAAAGGAGAGAAGCAGCATTTTACGGTTAGCTCTAAACAATGAGATGAGGCCAATGTTTTCCCGCCGGTGGGGACTTTTGTGCTGCGCAGGGACTGTCGCGGCCGGTTTTGCAGGGGCGCGGGCGTGGCCGTGTCGCCGGGAGCAGCGCGCGCCGCAGGGTCGGGCCTCCGAGGACGGCCCGTCTGGGTTCCTTTGGGATCCCAGCGCCTTTGGGATTTCTGTGCCCCGCGGGTCTCAGGCTTGCGCAGTGCCCCGAGCTCACCCCTTCCCTTCTCCTCGCACATAGTGTTCGTTCTAACCAGGCAGACATTTTTTGGAGACCAGACAGGAAATGAAAAGACCCCAATTCCCTCCTTTCTCCCCAAAGTATTAATTTGAAGGGATGTGGTTTTTTTCTTTACTGTGGATTGCTGGAAGGAATCTTGAAGTTCAACTTAGTTTTTATATGTAATTCTGAACAAGATTTCCAACCTTACAGAGCTGGCCTCATGCAAGGGTCTGTGTGGTTTGCACATGTCTTAAAGACCCCCGGCTTTTCCCTATGGATTCCAGGGAGCATTTAACAGAGTCAAGTGATTCCAGAATGTCATGTTCTATGTTTCCATGTCCATCTGGCTAAGGCCCAAATACGCGATACAGAGAGGCAGGCTCTGCTCTTGTCTGATCTAAAGTCTAACTCCTGCAGTCTCTGAGGCTCGGTTTCTTGATGTGGTGTGTGGTTTCCAGCGTCGGAGCTGATGGTCATGGAAGACCACACCTTCCCTATGGAGCTGGGACTCCTCCAGCGGTGGGAGTGTGAGCAATGAACTGTGAACAAGCTGCTTAAATTGTTCAGGTCTGTTTCCTCATCCATTAAACAAGCATAACAAAGTATTAGGTCATTAAATATGAAATGTCTGGTTTCAAATCAAAAGTGTAGTTTATTATATCTCAAACAAGAAGCAGTACAAAATAATCAAAGTATACACCTAAACCATCCACACAGTTTTACCATCTTAACGGTAACATATTCCAGCAGCTAAGAAGCCTAGAGAGCTAGTGGTGATGAAATCAGGAAAGATGTTTTCCACAGCTTGTTGGGAATTGCATATTTCTCCAAGAAGTGGTCCAAAGCCTGGAAGAAGTGGTAGTCAGTTGGTTGCAAGGTCTGGTGAATACGGTGGATGACAGGGAGTTTCCAAGTCCAACCTCTGTAGTTTGAGCAGCGTTGTTTGTGCGACATGTGGTGGAGCCTTGTCTTGCAAGAGGATTGGCCTGTCTCTGGTGACCAATCTCAGCTGCTTAATCACAAGCATCCTCATCATTTCGTCCCATTGGTTGCAGTAGACATCTGCTGTAATTGACTGACTAGGTTTCATGAAGCTGTAGTGGATAATACCAGCTCTGGACCACCAAACAGACACCATTAGTTTTTTTAAATGAATATTCAGTTTTAGACTATGTTTTGGCACTTCAACTTTATCCAACCATTGTGCCGAATGCTTGTGATTTTCAAAATAAATCTATTTTTCATCACACTTAATAACACGATGTAGAAATCGTTCTCCTTTATGTCATGACAGCAAAGAAAGGCAAGCTTCTCTTGTAACGCTCATTTAATTCACGTGGAACCCATCTATCCAGCTTCTTTACCTTGCCCATTTGTTTCAAACAGTCCAATATTGTTGGAATAATAACGTCAAACCTTGCTGGTAAATCATGTGTAGGTTGAGACTGATTTGCTTCCACTACAGCTTTCAGCTCATCATTATCCACGTTGGTCTCAGGTCACCCATGTGGCTCATTTTCAAGATTACAGTCACCATAATGGAACTTCTCAAACCATCAATGTACTGTGCATTCATTAGCCACATCCTTCCAAAACACTTTGTTGATATTTTGAGCTGTCTGCGCATCATTGGTTCCACAACAGAATTCATATTTGAAAATAACACAAATTTTTTACTTATCCATGGTTTCACAAAAATTGCTCTAAAAAAAACTTTGGAAGATAATCACAAGCCAAACCATGCGTTTGAAAGAATGAGGGTGTACCTTCACAATAAAAATAAAATAAGAAATGTCAAAATGAAATGTCAGAGATAGCAACTGTCAAACTTAGTACTTAAGGCCGGGCGCGGTGGCTCACGCCTGTAATCCTAGCACTCTGGGAGGCCGAGGCAGGAGGATTGCTTGAGCTCAGGAGTTCGAGATCAGCCTGAGCAAGAGTGAGACCCCGTCTCTACTAAAAATAGAAAGAAATTAATTGGACAGCTAAAAATATATAGAAAAAAAAACTTAGTACTTAAGGGAATTGGACAGACATACTTAATAACCTTAATACTATCTATCCTTCAAAATAATATGCATCTATCAGCCTAAGAGATAGGCTAAGATTTGTGCTAGTTCCGATTTCATCTCACATTAACTAAGCAGCTTTTCTCTTAACATGACATTTGAGGATTGGCTTAATGAGAGCAAGAGGATAGAAAGGAAAAGTGTACGAAGTGGAAGAATTAAAATGTAACAACCCTCAGAAAAGTATTATAGTAATGTAGCTTAGAAGTTGTCTAAAAACAGATTGATCAATTGATTGTAAATTACTTAATTTATTGGTAAAAAGCTAAAACTATTATGGACAGACACATGGCCCCTTTATTTTATAAATCAAGTTATGACTCTGAGGAAAGGTTGATGTTCCTCAACCTTGAAAATAAGGCTTGACATTTGGTGCTTTAATTTGTCCCAAATCTTGGTTTTCCATCCTGGAGTGCTGCGGGGAACGTGGCCAGTGTTCCCCACAAAAAACCGGGTCCCTTTGGTAGAATTGCAAGGGATAAGAAAATAATAGAGAGAAATGGAAAATGGAAGAAATAAAAGAATACACTGAGACAAAGATATAGTTTTATAAGTTTATAAAGATTATAGGCAAAGCGGGAGCTCAGGGGGCTCGGACCTCTCCGTTGGTCTCAAAAAGCCCCAAATGAGGTCTTACATGGTAACTTATAGAAAATAGTGAACAATTGTCAGGGGTAACAAATTTACATAACAGCAGGTAGTTCCTCTCAGGTTAACAGATTTTCAAAAGGCTTTTACAGAAGGGTTCTACAGATTCTTTAACTAATTCTATTTACGTGAGCAAACGGTTACAAAGTCTTTCAAAGGTTAATTTCTAAATTCTAAGGTAAGTTTATCATTTAAACAGAGGGGTTAAACAGAGATATGCAAGCTCCATGTTTATTAGGTTATTGTGAATGGAGACAGGTAGTCTAGAGTAGTTTAAACAAAGGCTCTGCTTTTGGCCCTTTGTGAAGCTGGCCTTTCCGGGAAGCTGTTTGTTCCGGAGGGCACTCCATCATCAGCTCTCAGCCTATAGTTTTTAACAGATTCGCTTGTGCTTTACAAAGCAAATCCAATTCTTTAGGTCTGAGAAACGCGGCGCCTCGTGGGATACAGCCGCTACTGCCTTTCAGAAACGCCCTTCCAGTGTAACAGCATTCGAAAGGCAAACCAGCACATTCACCTATTCCTTCAGGGCAAAGCTCTGTAAAAACTCCTAAGACAGATCCTGTCCCAAAACACGTTTAACACTAATTCATGGAGCAACAGAGTGCGATTTCGCAGATTTTTGCAAATGAGTTTCTTGTTAATAAAAACCAGATTATGATTAACCAAACATGGTGTGAAAAGAAATTAATGTGATTCTGAGATACTAAGTATGACATTGTAGAACCAGAAGAAATACTTCTACTGAATTCTACTCTAGTAAAATAATAGTTAGGATATTGTTCCAAATTTTGTCCACTGTACTTTAAAGAAAATATGGAGAAATTGGAGGGGGATGTTCAGAATGGGGAAACCAAAATAACAAAGTAGAAAGAGAGGAAACTAGAAGAACTGAGGCTGTTTTGGGGAGAGAAGGTGGAAGGACAACTTAGTTACTGTCAAATGCGTGCAGTGCTAAGAAGGATGGATGAACAGAAAACCAGATTTTGATTGGATACAATGAAGAACTTTTAACATGGTAAAAGAGTAAAATGAGCCACCAAGAAGCTTGAAGAATAGAGTAATTTGTCATCTGCCTTTCATGGCCTTGGCACAGCTATTCTTAGCCCTGGCTGTACGCTGGAATCACCTGGGGACTTAAAACTCACCTGACCCTGGGTTCGTCCCCAGACCCAAATTCTGACTTAACTGGTCTCAGCCCAAGTATGGATATTTTCCCAGAACTCCCTAGGCAAAACCCTAGGTAGAAAAACATGGGTCTGTGCCTAAGATGGCAAAGCCCACCACAAATGCCTGAGGAGGGCTGGGACTTGCAGGGGGTGGGGGTGGTCTCTAGGAGGGGGCTGTGGTTACCCTCAGTGTCAGCCAGCTTTGCCAGATCTTCCAATTTATCAAGGGAATCTGGAAATCTAGTTGTTTATTTATGCATATGAAATCTCCAAATCGTTAAAGGTTGGCAGCTAATAAAGAGTAAAACATTTAAAAGTGTATTGTGTTTGCCAAACAAAACAACCCCGCTGAAGTTGGCCCACAGGCCAGACTGGGCAACCCCAGCAGACTTTTGCCTTTTGTGGAAGGAGGGGTGTGAGTGGGGGCTCTCTGAGGGCCTCTTCTAGCTTCAGTTCTAGAATTTTATGCTTTTTTTTTTTTTAACTTGAAGAAACATTTCTTGGCCTCATTCTTTCTAAAGGCCTCTGTCTTCCTGG